GCTTTCATCTGCCTTTTCTTCTCCTTCCTCTCCTTCGCCTCATTGATGATTCCTTTGATGAACACATTGTCAACGACCACCCCCATGCGTCGCGCAGGTTCTTCAGGTGGTGCGGATACGTGTCGCTTCATCGGCCTGGTTCTGCACTCCCGCTCCAGGTGTCCAGGGGCTTCTTTCCCGCATCCTGCGCATCGTACGTCCGGACAGTCCCGTACCCAGTGTCGAGACGATCCGCATTGCCTGCAACTTTCCTTCGGGGTCCACCCAGGGTTGGGTTGCCAGTCAGCCAGGATAGTGGTGCTCCGCGGCATTGCTTGGAGGAAAGGGGATGGGATCGGGGCCCGCCTGAAGGCAGATGTCGGTAGGGGTGCAGGTAGGGGTAGGTACGCATTGGGGATGGCGTGCGGGATGAATTTGTTGTGTCGCGCCCGGATGCTGCGCGGTAGGAGCGGTTGAAAGCGATGGGCAACTTTCAGATTGTCGAGTCGAATGAGCTCGGTGAGGACACGGTCATCCTGTTGACGTAGGAGTCACTTGTGATGGTCGATGGCCTCGTCGGCTGCCTTGACAGCCTCATCATAGTCGCGGCGGGCGGAGAGATACGCCTCTAGTGTAGCTCAGTCGGTGGCATTGGTTGCCTCGGGGTTGTGGGCTTTGAGCTTGTTGAAAACGTCGGTGGGATTACTGAGGAGAAGCGTCAGCAAGGTGCTGTCGCCGACGTGGGTGTGCTTAGGGGTGTAGATCGAGATCCTTTTCCCGCCTTCGGTCGAGGGGGTATTGAACTGGTCGAGGAACGGGAGGGTGGAAGACATGTTGGTGCGAGTGGGGATGTAGTAACTGGGTAGAGCTGCTATCGATTCAGCTCAAGTCCTTCCTGTTCTTATACTCTGCCAACACTTCGTCAGCCGTCCCAGTCAGGTTCGCTTCGGGCTCCCATGAGTCATTGGCTGTTGAGTAACCCTTCCACCTGACGCGATATTCGCGGCACCGCATCCTCTTGTTCTCTCGGTGTCCGATGATGGTTTCAACTTTGTAGTTATCTTCGCCTTCAATAAGGTCAGGGGGTGGCCTCGTGTAGTTCGGACCATGGATCTCCGTCTCCGAGTAGGGAGATAGAAGCCATTTGTGGAAAACGGGGTGGACTCGCCAGGTGCTAGGCAAGTCTAGCTTGTACAAGACCATTCCAATCTTATCTAGGACTTTGAACGGCCCTTCTCGCCTTGGGGCTAGTTTCCTGGACGGGTACGGCAGCTTCAAGTTCCGGGAGTCTAGCCATACCAGCTGACCTTTACGGAAGGAACCCCCCTTCCTTTTTACTCTCTTGGCCAGGACGTTCTGGGCCATCTCCATTGCCGCATGTGCTTCTTTGCGGATGTTTTGCAAGTCCTTGAGGCGATAAGCTGCTTGGGGCGTGTTTGATCCAGGGTGCACGGTGGGTATTCCACGAGGTTCGTATCCCATCATGAGTTTGAATGGGGACGTCTTCGTTGTGGAATGCTCGCAGGAGTTGTGAGCAAATTGCGCGGTGTGAAGATGGTCAGCCCACTTATCCGGATCATTGGCAGTGAAGCAGCGGAGGTAGATCTCCAGCTCTTGGTTCACTCGTTCTGTCTCGCCGTTAGTTTGCGGATGGAATGCCATACTCATGGCTGATTGAACCCCAGTCATTTTGCAAAGTTCTTGGAAGACTTTGGATGCAAATTGCGGTCCTCGGTCACTGATGATCTTGTCTGGGAGTCCAAACCACTTGTAGACCTCTCGGTACATTGCATCTGCCGTCCCAAGAGCGTCAATTGTTTTGTTGCATGGGATGAAAATTACCCCCTTCATAAGGTCGTGGTCCACTACGACCAGAATTGAATCAAAGCCGTTGGACGGTGGCAAGTCGGTGATGTAATCGCACGAGAATGTGCTGAAGGGCTTGGCATTTGCGTGGGGTCGAATGGGGGTGATGGGCGGTCAGGCTGGATGGGTGTTGACCTTCATTTGCTGGCAGATGCCACAGCCGTTAACATAGCGAGCAACAAACTGGGCCATGCTTGGCCACCAGTAATCACGGCGTAAACCGAGGAGGGTTTTCTGAACACCGGGGTGTCCTGCGGAGGGGAGGTTGTGATAGTGGAAGACAAGACGCTTGCGAAGAGACTCATCTGGGGGTACATAGACCCGATCCTGGTACAAGAGGAGGTCATCATCAGTGGACCAGTCTGTTCCAGTGCGTGGGGTCCCTCCAGTGCATACCGCAGTGAGGCCTTCCTTCATTATGGGGTCATCTTTGAAAGAAAGGATGGTGTCGCGGGTGTCGATGTCGATGGCAGCGACCCATACTTCCGGTGGGAGCATAACAATGTCGGTGTTGTCATTAGAGCCGTCATCATGGTCGGGTCGGCAGGAGAGAGCGTCACTCTGCACCATTTGGGTACCAGGAATGTGTACCAGGCGGAAGTCAAACTCGGTCAGTTTACTCGCCCAGCGTGCTTATCGTCGGTTCATGTTTTTGGCTTGTTTCCAATATGTGAGGTTCTTGTGGTCACTGAGAATCGTCACTGGGTATGGGCTGCCAATGAGGTAGTGCCTTCACTCATCTAGTGCACGGATGACCGCATACAGCTCCCTGTTGTAGATGTCGTAGTTTCTCTCAGCCGCATTGAAGCTTTGAGAGAGGTATCCGCAAGGATGCCAGTCGCCATTGTCATCGCGCTGGCGTAGTACTGCTCCGGTTGCAAACTTGGAGGCATCGGTTTCGATAGCAAAGGGTCGGTCGGGATCCAGCATGCATAGTACTGGTTCTTCTAGGAATGCCTTCTTGAGGGTCACGAAGGCTTTCTGTTGGTCAGATCCCCAGGTCCAGGCAACATCCTTCTGGGTGAGAGCAACCAGCGGTTGCGCTTTGTCCGAGAAGCTTTTGATAAACCGGCGGTAAAAGTTTCCAAATCCAATGAAGGCGCGTACTTGCCTGAGGTTGGACGGCACCGGCCAATCCGCAATGCCAGCTAGTTTGACAGGGTCCATTGCGATTTCTCCTAGACAGATGATCATGCCGAGGAATTCGACTTCAGTGACATCAAAGGTGCATTTCTCCGGTTTGAGGTAGAGGTCGTGTTGTCGAAGTCGTTCGATAACACGTCGTGTTTGTTCTTCGTGTTCTGCCTTGTCCTGGGAAAAGATCAGGATGTCGTCCATGTAAATGCAGAGCCAGCCTTCTTGAAGCATGTCTGCGAATATTGTGTTCATCATCTGCTGGAACGTAGTGGGAGAATTACACAGCCCAAAGAACATCACCGTTGGTTCGTACAGCTGCGGCGGTTTGCCATCAGTTCCGGGTACGATGAATGCCGCCTTCCATTCGTCCCCTTTCTTGATTCAGACGTTGTTGTATCCGGCGCAGAGGTCCATCTTCATGAACACCTTGGTGTGCTTCAATTTGTCGAGGAGGTCCGATATAAGCGGGAGCGGGTATCGATCCTTGACTGTGTTCTCATTGAGCAGCCGGTAGTCTTGACAGGGGCGTAGTGAACCGTCTTTTTTACCAACAAAGAAGAATGGACTCGCCAACGGGGATTTCGAAGGGCGAATGTACCCTTTACTCAGGTTCTCCTCGAGGAACTTGTCGAGTTCCTTTCGTTGCTGCGGGTTGAGCGGATAGACCTGTTGCTTCATGTCCGCGAAGCCCTCCTTGAGGTTGATTTCGTGGTCATATTCGGTGTGGTCTGGAAGTCGCGCAGCAGTGCCTTTGTCGAAGACGGGGAGGAGATCGTGTAGGTAGGATGGTACCATCTGTGGTAGCATTTTTTCTGTCTTGCCTTGGGCATTCGAGGCTGCAAGTTCGGTGGAAGTGGTGACGCGCCTAATGTCGTGGTGGATCTTCCAGATCATGCCGTTGTGGAGTCGTTTGTAGCCGGACGAGAGTTCAGGAAGTCGCTCCTTGAGCGGAACATCCCTTACTGCTGGGGATTCTTGTTTCTCGTACTTGGTGATCATCGGCACTCCGGATAAGTAGGAAATGATGAACTCATCATCGTCGATGTCCTCCGCTTGTTCCTCGATGGACGCAATACCTGTTGACCCAAACCCATCCTCCCCGCGTTCAGTTTCGTCGATGCAGTTGGTTATAGTTACTGGTGGGGTGCTTATCCTTTCAAGGATGAGCTGAGCGACTCAGTCGCCGACTTTGACAGTGAATGGGAGGTCGGAGTTGTTGACTGAGACCTTGCCTCGGTAATCTGAGTCGATTACTCCTGCAGTGACATCAATTTCCTATAGTGCTAGGCCGGATCAAGGTGCGATTCTTCCATAGTGTCCTTCGGGGATAGCCATGGTAAGATCGGTGCCGACCAGGCCTTGTCGTCGGGCAGGGATGATGAGTTGATGCGCAGCAGAGATGTCATATCCTGCTGCGCCACTAGTCTTTTGTTTGGAAAGGGTTGCGTGTTCCGAGGTGGAGATGACGACAAATTCGTCCTCCGTTGGTTCTGGGAGTGGGGTAGTTACAGCCTTCTTTAGTTCTAGCCGAGCCACTCGCCTTTGGTACAGGTCCATCTTCCAGGCCCTTGTCTCATCTTTCGTCCATCGGTGGTTTAGTTCAACTTGTCCGGTCTTCCAGTCTATCTTGGGGTTTTCGAGCTTGAGCCAGGTATGGCCGAAGATGATGTCTTCCTTGCCGATGCTGGCGATGTAGGCTTTGACAAATCGGGGTTCTCCGCTTATCTTGTAGGATAAGAGAGCTCTTCGCGTGATGAGTGCTTCTTTGTTCGGTGTTCCATCCACGTTGAAGACGGGGATGGGTCGGGGAAGAGGTTCTGTCCGAAGTCGATGTTCTCAGATGAATCTCGGGCTGATGAAGATTCCAGTTGCGCCGCTATCAATGAAAGCATGCGCCTCGACGTCTTTTCGTCCCACAGTAATCGGAATGTGCAGAGCGCGTTCATTTCGGACTACTAGAATTACACGGGACAGTGAAACAGATACGGGCAGTGGTTGCGTCGGCTCACCCTGCCCCTTCAAAAATCCTCCATCGTAAGTTCTTCATACAGCTCCCGCTTCTCGTCGGCAGAGAGTGCCTTGATTCTGGCATGGAAGTCGTCCTTCCCAGATCCTCCCTGGTTCGGCCTCCCACCCCCTTGTTGTGCGGCCACTTTCTTGCGGCAATCCTTGGCGCTGTGACCCTTGATGTGGCAGTAGAAGCACAGGTTCCTGTCCCTGTGGAGCTTCCGATCGGCCTCGTTGAGAATGGCTCCTAGTTCCCATTTCCTTCCTCCCGGTGTGGAGGCGAAGGTTGATGCGACGGCAGTGGCATCAACATCCATTGGTTCGCCATAGTCCCTGGTGTCTGTGACAACGAGAGCCCCCTGCTTGGCTGCGTCAGCATTTCGTACTTCGTCATACCAGGCCTTCATGGTGTTGGGTCGATCCCTAGCAATCCTGGTTGCGAGCGCAAAATACAGCTCCTTCGGGAGTCCTTTGACAAAGTTGGCATGGAGAGTGTGGTAGTCGTTCTCGGTGCGGTTGATGCCATTGACTTCGGTGTCCTTGAGCTGGGCTTTCGGCGCTAGCTGCTCGAAGCGGGTGATGTAGTTTCCAAGGGAGAGCACTGTCTTCTTGTTCTTCTGTCGTTCGGGCAGCTTCATCAGGATTTGGTGCGCCTTGATTCATGTTCCGTGCTCGGGAAACACTTCCTCAAGGGCGGTGGCGAAGGCTGCCCAATCAGGATAGACCTGGACTCCCCCTGCCGACTTCTCGTAGTATGCGTCTGCCCATGTCTTCCCTAGGTCCTTCCTCATCAACGCTACAGTGAAGGTGATCTTTGCTTCATCGCTAAGTCTGGTGTTGTTGGTGGCGACGAAGTAGGAAAGAACGCATTGAAGGAAGCGTCTAAGATCCTCTGCCTTTCCGCTGAAGGGTTCCGGAGCGGGGATGTTGAGGCGGAGGGGTCGATTGGCGGTTGATTGTTGAAGTCGGTATGTATCGAGAGCAGCCGCCACGATGCGCTGATCGATGTCTGCTTGAGTGAATGTTGCCATAGGGACTTCAACTAGTGCGTTGGTTGGTGCGGGTGGAGCTGGTGGTAGTTCGATGTCTGGGATTTCGATGGGAACATACTGAACTTCAGGGAGCTCGAGTGGTTGTTTATCTTTCTGTTCTATTTCCTGTATTACTAGCACCCATACTGGTGCCTGTCTTAGCGCTCACCCGCAGGTTGAACATTATGTAGCTTACATAATGGGGTCCATGCGCACTTCGTGCCTGGTATTGTACCACTATGTTTCTTTCTTTACTAACACGACCACACAGATATAGTGGTCCGTGCGTAGCTGGTACTTGTATAAATAGGTGTACCATTAGTCGGTCGAACCCTAAGTTCGACCTGGTTATTCATTCAAGTCTCTGCTCCTCTTCACTTGGGGTAGTGGTCATTCTCGACTTCCTTGCTCGATCTTTAGGACAACGCACTGTCCATAAGCCCTCGCTCGTTGTCTACGAGTCAGGCATCAATATAGGAGTATAGACTGTTGTATCACGTAAGCACCTGCGATGTGTGCAACCGTACCAAGACATTCCCCACCAAACCCCAGGGTCCGCTGAAGCTGAACGAGATCCCCAAACGCCCATGGCAGATCATCACCACCGATATGATCATTGGCCTGCCAAAGTCTGATGGATTCGACTTGATCCTAGTTACCGCCGACCGCTTCACCAAACAGGTCCACTTCTCTGCCTGTCATGAGACCCTGACAGCAGAAGGTGCAGCAGACCTATATATCCGCGACATGTTCAAACACCATGGGACCCCGGCCAAGGTCATATCAGACCAAGGTCCCCAGTTCGCGTCAAAGTACCTCCATGCAGTATACAAGGGACTAGGGATCGAGCCGGCGCTGTCTGCAGTGTTCCACCCTCAGATGGATGGCCAGACCAAGTGCTGGAATCAGGAGATCGAGCAGTACCTGCATGCATTCACAAGCCACAGGCAGGATGATTGGGCCAGACAGTTGCCGCTTGCCGAATTTGCATTGAACAATAGAGTTCATTCGGCAACCGGGCACTCCCCCTTCTTCCTGAATCAGGCATATCACCCTGAAATCCAAGTACGGATCAATCCAATGTCCATGATGCCTGCGGCCGCAGATTGGCTTAGAATCCTAAAGGAGATCCGCGATGATACACGCTCCGCGTTGGAGCTGTCAGCCGAACAGATGAAGGTGTACTACGATAAGCATGTGCAGGAGGCACCAGTCTTCGCACCGGGGGATAAGGTCTGGCTCAATGCCCGGAACCTTAAGCTGAAACAGCCAAGCAAGAAGCTCAGTCCCAAGCGCCTTGGACCATATGCCGTGCAGCGAAAGCTCGGACACTTAGATTATGAGTTGGTTCTGCTGAAGTCAGTGCCTGTGCACCCGGTGTTCCACATCTCCTTGCTTAGCAAATACATGCATAGCGAGATCCCGGGCCGGGAGCCAGAGGAGCCACCTGCCATCTGTCACGAGTTGATACGGTGTCTAGCCGTCTTTTAATTTTTTCCTTTTCACGGGCTCGAACCCGCAACCTCTGTACTATATGACTGATATGGATGCATCATTATCTACTGTATGATTAGATTAGATGGGCGGCAGTGCGCGGCACAGCTTGGGCCCCGCTGACACAGCCGCACTGACTCACCGGCCCCCGGGGCTGCGTCAGCATGCTGTGCATGGACCAGCTGCACACAGACCAATGCGCACAGCCTGCCCTTATCTTCCCCTGTATATAAGCCGGCCTCTGCTGCCATAGGGACCTCAGTTTCGACCTCTTGTTCCTAGGTCAGGAAGCATCCCTTTGTATTCCTTTCTTACTTAACTAATATATCATTTTGTTCCTAGCCTTAGGTTTGAGCGTTACTCACCATTGCTTTGGTGAGACCCAGTCGAATGCCCCCAGCCTTCGTGTTTGTCCTTGTCGCTTGACCCCAAGTCGCAACAACGAGTCAGGCATTGATATAGGAGTATAGACCATTGTATCATTATAAGTGAAATCTTGATTTTGGACTCACAATGCCCAAGTACAGCCATCGTCGCCGAGTGGTGTACAATGGTCCATGACATTACAGCAGTGAGTACCTCAGCTAAAGGCCAAACACCGAGGGCTAACTCTACTCACAGACACATGCAGCTGGTTCTTAATTACAGATATGACATCGCTCGGTGCTACACCATTGGACTCTGTGAAGACATGGGTACAGAGTGGATGTGCATGGGTAGTGATGTCCATACCCAGTTTTTGTGCAAGTCGGGCATGCCGTTGACCATCTGGATCCTGGGAGAGATATGAGACACGTATTTCTATATCAAATTGGGCACACCTGTGAAGACCATCAGTGTCAGCATTTGGCCTGTTATACATGACGACCTCATGAAGATGAGACAGTTGTTCGACAAACTTGCCACATTCAAAGGTGAGTACACACCACGCAAAACTGGTGCACGCTAACAACATGTACAGAGCACTCAGCTCTGCCCTTTCTCAGGGCTTCGAAAATGCAGATGCAGAGAGGAAGAGGGGACAACAATGCCATGGTGAGCTTCATCTGAGCCAATAAAACAAGCTCACTCACATTGGATAGGTGACTGATTTCAAACACTGCTACAATGCATGAAACATTTATCTTTCCGTTCTATTTCTTGTATTACTAGCGCCCATACTGGCACCTGTCTTAGCGCTCACCCGCAGGTTGAACATTATGTAGCTTACATAATGGGGTCCATGCACACTTCGTGCCTGGTATCGTACCACTACGTTTCTTTACTAAACACGACCACATAGACACAATGGTCCGTGCGCAGTCGGTACTTGTATAAGTAGTTGTACCATTAGTCGGTCGAACCCTAAGTTCGACCTGGTTATTCATTCAAGTCTCTGCTCCTCTTCGCTTGGGGTAGTGGTCATTCTCGACTTCCTCGCTCGATCTTCAGAATGACGCACTGTCCATAAGTCCTCGCTCGTCGTCTACGAGTCAGGCATCGATATAGGAGTATAGACCATTGTATCATCCATGGTCTGAACTACACAAGGCCACCTCCTGACCTTATTGAAGGTGAAGATAGCTATGAAGTCAAAGCCATTGTTGGACACCGAGAGAACAAGAGAATGCAGTGTCAGGAGTATTGCGTCAGGTGGAAAGGTTACTCAACCACTGATGACTCATGGGAGCCCAAAGCGAACTTGACAGGAACTGCGGACGAAGTGCTAATGGAGTATAAAGAAAGGAAGAACTTAAGCTGAATCGACAGCAGCTCAACCCAGTCGCTACACCCCTTCACACATATCAACATGACATCCACCCTTTTGTTCCTCGACCAGTTCAATGCCCCCTTGACCAAAGGTGGAAAGAGGATTTTGATCTACACCCCTAAGCACACCCATGTTGGCAACAGCACCTTGCTGACGCTCCTTCTCAGTAACCCCGCTGATGTCTTTAATAAACTCAAAGCCCACAACCCCGAGGCAACCAATGCCACTGACTGCGCCACACTAGAAGCATACCTCTCTGCCCGCTGCAAATATGATGAGGCTGTTGAGGCAGCAGATAAGGCCATCGACCACCACAAGCAGCTGCTATGCCAACAAGACGACCGTGTCCTCACCAAGCTCATTTGACTTGACAATCTGAAAGTGGCCCATCGCTTTCAACCGCTCCTCCTGCGCAGCATCCGTGCACAACACAACAAATTCATCCCATGTGCCATTCCCAACGCATACCTACCCCTACCCGCACCCCTACCGACGTCCGCCTTCAGGCGTCCCCCAATCCTGTCCCTCTTCCTCCAAGCAACACCGCAGAGCACGACCATCCCAGCTGACTGGCAACCCAACCCCGGTTGGACCCTGAATGTCACGAGTTGACATGGCATTTAGCCATTTTTTCATTTTTTTCCTTTTCGCGGGCTCGAACCCGCGACCTCTGTACCATACACCTGAATGGACAAGTTCTTATCTACTGTACGATTAGATTAGATGGGCGGCAGTGCACGGCACAGCTTGGGCTCCACTGACACAGCCGCACTGACTCACCGGCTCCCGGGGCTGTGTCAGCAATGCTGCGCACAGACCAGCTGCACATGGACCAATGTGCACAGCCTGCCCTAAATCCCCCATGTATATAAACCAGCCTCTGCTGTCCTAGGGACCTCAGTTTCGACCTCTTGTCCCTAGGTCAGTAAGCCCCTGTACTTACTTACTTTCCTATGCTAATTAACTTGTCCCTAGCCTTAGGTTTGAGCACTGCTCACCATTGCTTCGGTGAGAATCAGTTGAACACCCCCAGCATCCCTTTGTTTGGTTTTCCCCTGCCACTTGACCCTAAGTCGCAACACCGAAGGGAAGCTGCAGACAATGCAGATCGTCTCGACACTGGATACAGGACTGTCTGGACAGGCGGTGCGCAATATGTGGAAAGGAGGCCCCTGGACATCTGGAGCGAGAGTGCGGGACCAGGCCAATGCAGCGACACATATCCGCACCACCTGAAGAACCTGCGCAACGCGTGGGGGTGGTCGTTGACAACATGTTCCTTGAAGGGATCATCAATGAGGCGAAGGAGAGAAAGGCAAAAGAAAGGCAGATGAAAGCAGTACCCATCCCTCCCCCGCACAGTGCTAACCCCGAACTTCCAACCAGTCCCATTGCGGGACCCTTACGTCCCCGTCCCAATACACCTGTTGTCCTTCGCAAAGTCGATCCTGACTGGGTCCCTGATGCTGCCCAATGGATGTGGGACAGCTCCTGGCCACATCAAAAGCATCTGTCTGGCAAAGAGTGGAAGAACATTGGGAGGGACACATGCAACGAGTGGTTTGACAAAGCGGAGGATGACGGCGTAGACTGGGAATTATATGGAGACGGTGAGCAGTGAGTAGTCGAATGGGACTTCGACTCTGGCAGGGGGGTAATGAAACAGTTGTCTTTCCATTCTATTTCTTGTACTACTAGCACCCATACTGGCGCCTGTCTTAGTGCTCACCTGCAGGTTGAACATTATGTAGCTTACATAATGGGGTCCATGCACACTTCATATCTGGTAGTGTACCACTATGTTTCTTTCTTCACTAACATGACCACACAGACACGGTGGTCTGTGCATAGCCGGTACTTGTATAAATAGTTGTACCATTAGTCGGTCAAACCCTAAGTTCAACCTGGTTACCAATTCAAGTCTCCGCTCCTCTTCGCTTGGGGTAGTGGTCATTCTCAATTTTCTCACTCGATCTTCTGGACGACACACTGTCCATAAGCCCTCGCTCATTGTCTATGAGTCAGGCATTGATATAGGAGTATAGACCGTTGTATCAGTGACCTGTCCATGTCAAGTGCCGCCCCACACAGCAAGGTTGCTGTTCAAACCCAGGAAAGGGAAAAAGAAAAGAAAAAAGGAGAAACAAAAATAGTCCGTGACATAGCAACTCGTGACAGCATGTATGGTTCATACATCTTACAGATTGTATTGTACATGCAGTGACAATTAATGCTGGTGTTCCGTGGTGCTGTAATACCCCACAATTTTCGTTTTTTTTACTCTTTAGACACATTCAATTGGTTTTATTTTAATAAATACGCAGATTATCTGTCACGAGTTGACACGGCGTCTAGCCGTTTTTTAATTTTTTCCTTTTCACGGGCTCGAACCCGTGACCTCTGTACTATACGCTCGAACGGACAAGTCCTTATCTACTGTACAATTAGATTAGATGGGGCGGCAGTGCGCGGCACAGCTCGGGCTCCGCTAACACAGCCTCTCTGACTCACCGGCCCCTGGGGCCGCATCAGCATGCTGCGCACGGACCAGCTGTACACGGACCAGTGCGCACAGCCTCCCCTAAACTCCCCCTGTATATAAGCCGGCCTCTGCTGCCCCAGGGACCTCAGTTTCGACCTCTTGTCCCTAGGTCAGTAAGCCTTCAGTTGTATTCCTTTTCTTTACCTAACTAATATATTATCTTGTCCCTAGCCTTAGGTTTGAGCATCGCTCACCATCGCTTCGGTGAGAATCAGTCGGACGCCCCCAGCTTTTAGGTTTTCCACAGTCGCTTAACCTCAAGTCGCGACATTATCATTCACACGAGTCCTTGTACTAGCTTAATGGTGTCGTATAATTAGATAACTTATTAGATAACATTGTAACTAATACATAACGGTCTGCTGAGGCGTGCTGAGATGCAGGCTCCTTCCCACCACTGTGGGAGTTATAGGGACTCAATCCGACAAATTTGATGCAAGCTAAGTCCTGCAAGCCCATCTGCCACACTTGTGCCACAATCCGGCTACATCCGAGGCTAAATTAAACTTCAAATCCCAACCTTAAACCCCCATAACTCCCTACAGCGGCTGGCACAAAACATCTACAAACAGCGGAGGAGCGGCGCATGTCACCTCGATTAGGAAGGCAGGATAATGACCCATCATTACATAATTATCTTGGCCCCATGTACAGTAGCGTTTCTCGCGTCCTAAGGCACGTCGTGTCTCGTTGTCCTTGGTGCAGTTTTGTGACCAATGACTATAGCTTTCACACCGCTAATGAATTTTCTATATCTGGCTTTCACACAAAGGATCACATCCCTGTCGAGCTCAATCTGACTGATCAAGATGTCATGCAACAGTGAACACCCCTTCATTGAAGAACTCATCCTCGGCCTGGCTGGCACTTCAGCGCTCTCAATGCATTTGCGACCCAGGTTTTCGACTGTCACATTGAAGATATGGCTTCCAAGATGGAAAGTGTTGCAAGCAATGGGCTTTCTGCGCATTGCTGTTATGCTTACTTAGGGGGGATTGCAATGATCTCAATTGATGCAATCAAAATGTTTTGATGACATTTATCATATCCGGGAATCGATCCTGCCTCATATGGGATGTGCGGCGTCGGTCCTCCGCTGTTTGTAGATGTTTTGTGCCAGCCGCTGCAGGGAGTTATAGGGGATTAAGGTTCAAATGGGATGTCACATGATATGCACGTGATGAGATGGCACATGATCTGTAGCAAGACTTCTATTCTCGGATACACAAGATAAAACATTGAGTACGCTATTCGGATGAAGTCCCCTATAACTCCCACAGCGGCGGGAAGGAGCCTGGCTGAGATGCTGAATCCGCTGAAAGAAGTGACTTAGCCAGCTGAACAGCTGAAATCGCTGACGTGCTGAACTCAGCACGTCAGCGACCTCAGAGCGTCTCAGAGCGTCAGCGGACTTCCACTTTTCCTGATGGGCGCGGGATGTGTTCTGTCAGGAGCTCTGGAATGAGAGCGGGGAGTGTGTTTGTAACGAGGCTGTCATAGACTATGAAATATATTTACTTGTGGTGACTTTGTGTATGTCCCCTCGCCCTCGACTGCGCTCCATTCCCATGCCCCTCCACCACCCTCTGTTGCCTTGCACTTGGCCTATCTCTCGATTTTCACTCGGTCACTTCTCGCACGCTGCTGATCCACCATCACAGCGCACAGATGCCGATTCGTTCGCCTAGGTGCTGTCGCCGCTTCTAGCAAAAGCATGCACGCGGGACCACAGACTATCTACGCCCGCGCACCACGCAGCCCCTCCTCACAACTCCAGGATCGCAGAGACGTCGCCCAGCACGAGATCCTTCAAGTTTCCAAAGTTCGGCGTCCCAAAGCCCGTCACCGGGTCCCACCCGACCGTTGCCTGCATTGAACGGAACGCGTCGTCAGCACACTCGCACACTCGCGTCGCCTTCCCGGCAAGCAGCAACAGCAGCAGCAGTGATGGCGACAGCAGCAACGACAGCGCCAACAAAACAACATCAACAGTAATAGAACACAGCTACTCACGTTGAAGCCCTCCGTGCCGCAGCCCGGGTTGCTCCCGCCCACGATGTCGTTGAAGCCGTCCGGGAAGACCGCGCCGATCGCGTACAGCAGCGGGTTCAGGAACCCGAGCGGCGCGAGCCCCCGCGCGAGGCGCGCGTCATTGAGCAGCGACACGAGCCCCGCGAACGTCGGCGACGCGGCGGACGTCCCGCCGATCTGGCCCTCCACGCCGCCGACGAAGAGGTTGAAGAACTGGCCCTGCGCGGCGACATCGGGGTATGCCTGGAGGGCGGCCATCATATGTCAGTGTCAGCGTCAGTGAGGGGACGAGATGGCGTGATTCTGGGACGTACACGGCCGGACGGGTTGTAGAGGCCCGCGTAGGTGCCGGGCACGAGCTTGCTGAGGTAGGTGTCCACTGCGAGCTCCTGGTAGGCGGGGCGCGAGAACTGTGGATCCCGCACACGGTGAGCGACGTCTGGCACGCTGGTCAGGGACGGGATCTCATGGGGCTCACGTAGTTGCTGAATCCGCCGCCCGAGATGTAGTACACTTCCTCGGGGATGTACCACGTCGCGCCGACCGAGGTCACGCTGCAGATTGTACATCACTCGATTAGACGGCTGCCGCGCCTCGGGGGACGGTCTGACTCACTAGGGACAGGCGGCAGGGAATGCAGGTATGAACTTGTGCTCGTTCAGGCCGTTGTTAGTGTAGCACTGTTGCGTAGCCGGGTCGGAATCGCCGTCGCCGACACCGTTATCGCCAGAGCTGAAGGACAGCGAGACGCCTCGGGCTCCTACATGGTGAAACGGTGAGCCACGGCCGCTAGCTAATTGAAGGGAGCATCGCACCGAGCTGGGCGAAGCTAGCGCAGACACGCTTGGCATAGCTTTCAGGAACTGGAAGATGGTAGTCAGATCAGAACTGGGGGTGTGAAGGCATGCATGGCGTGACCACATACCAGTTTGCTCGTCGTCACCGTAGCTGGTGGAGATCGTCTGCGGTGGGCTTGGGTCGCTAAGAATGTACTCCAACCACTGACATAGACATCATCGTGAATATCTGCTGCTCTGTTGATGATGTTCCGAACTCACATTCGCATACGGCTCATTCGAATCGGTGGGCGTAAGGTCGTCGGGAATGAAGGGCGGACTCCCTCCAGTAGTGTAGAACGTCCTCGGAGTGGGGTACGTCAAGCCAAATGCGTACTGGGTGTCTGTACAGCCACCATCAGTCATGGGGGTGTTTTGGGTTCCAACTTGACATACCCAGGTTCGCCTCGATTCCCGCCGCATCAGGCGACTGGTCGTTTGTCCCATCTTGTGGGGAACAGATCGCCATCAGCTTCCATCACATCAATCGCCCCGGACAATCGACACAACTCACTGTTGATATACACAACGTCGAACGTCGAGTCCGCCGCCTCGGGCACGAACGCCTCGTTGAACAAATGAAAGTCCTCCAGGTTCGCGTTCTGGCCGAGATAGCCCGTCACCGCGAGCTTGTTCTCGCCCGCGGCCGCCGGCACGTACCCAACCGCGTTGTAGAGCTCCTTCAGGCACGTGGGCGTGATCGACGCGTTGCAGCTCGCGTTCACCTGCCCGTTGTACGCGGAGGGTATCGAGATGTACGGCGCGTCGGTCTTTATGGCAGCGGGCGCGTCGCCGGCGAAGTGGTACGTCGCGGCGTCGCGCCTGAAGCGCGCGAAGGACGTCGTGGGCTGCACGACGTCGACGTGCGCGTGGAGGTGCTCGGGGAGGCTGTAGGAGGTTGTGCGCACGAGGGCGGCGCCGCTTGCATCGTGGACCCAGACGTGATATTCCTTGGTTACATGATGAGTCCACAAACGGGCATCTGTTGACAGAAAGAGACCTACCGTCTTCATCATTTCCTCGGCCATAGAGACCGGAATTCGGATGGTAACCCAATCCTGAGCCGGCGAACGGGACAGCGCGTCCGATGGAATACCATGAGAGGCAAGCCATTCGTCGACGAGCTGAATGCTCTCGGGGTGAGGCGCTACGAGCGCCTCTACCTCTTCTTTGGACAGGTGTACACCATACCGTTCATGGAATGGGTCACTAAGTGCCTCGATCAGCGTCATAACATCCACTGACCTCTACCTAGTATTGTGAGCAGAAATCCTGGAGGCCGACTTCTGCCAACTGCCAGCAGAATGGCAATTGCCACCCTGGCAGAATATGGCAGATTTCGGGCGGGGTTTACACCCAATCGTGGACGTGGCGATGCGATTTGGCCACAAACCTTCTGTCGCCCTCCAAAATCCGTTCTGCCATCTGCCATGGCAATTGCCTGGCGGGCAGAAATACCTGGCAGAGTGGCAGACTTCTGCCAACAACACTACATCCAAGACCGAGCAGATATACCCCTACCTGATCTCGTACAAGTGCTGCTCCAGCACCGCAAAGTTGGGCTGTGGCAGGCCGATTCGCAGCTCGATGAGATGATCGGCAGGAGCGGCCTTGGTCTTGGTCCATCCACGAGGAGGGGCGACGGACTCTTTGACCTTGTGAGCGCAGTCGCTGGGCGAGCCGGGAGCGGCGACAGCGAGAGAGGTCAGAGCCAACACAGACCAGAGAAAGAGCCTCATGGTGGGAGTAGTCGCAGACTCGACGGCGGTATCAAGCTGCGTCCACGAGTTTATATATGGCGCATGCGTGCATATGTTTCGGCCATGGACGGTGGGAGGCACATTGCCCGCGACGATCATACGTAACACGCGGGCCTACTGTTCAGGCCCCCTCCCTCGATCGCGTGTTATCGCGCGTTCTCGTCTTCTCACCCCTCGGCCAATCTTAGACCTCGGTGGTCTATGTATGTCTGTCCAGGTCATCTACTATAGAGTAGATATCGTGCAGTTCACCCTCATACTCACAGTCAACATCGTCAAGCGTGCCAACGCACCTTTGCCGACGCCAGGGATTGACGGGCCCATCAGCATCCAGGGTTGCAGTGTGGCAGTGCGAGCGGACCCCCAACAAGGCTGCATTACTGTTATGCAAACCCAGCCGAATCTGCAAATCAATTCACCGCGGAAGGTATACGTGAACTGCATCCACAGCGTCCCGAGGAGCAAGCCGAGCAAGGATTCCTCACCACTCAGTGAGTTACAACCAACCAGCTGCGGCCTGCGGGGCTTTTCACATTGCCGCCGAGTTCCTAGATGCACGACAAGCTGTCTAATGGAGATCTTTTGGCATTGACGCTCCTCAACCGTGCCTGCACATGAGTTTCAACATCAAAATGCATGATTGAGGGGGTGGTTGTAACACCAGATTCTTCTGAAAGTCCGTGAAGTCGATACGACTCGAAAGCGACTCGATGCGAGACGGTACAGCACAACAAACATCGACAGCCATACATATACACCCATAGCCCTCTATGCGCGGTGTTCCTACAACAGTGACGACATCAGATTCAGACGGATCATTATTATACTCATACATCGGCGTCAGGGCACTTCAGCACTTCAATCCTGGCTTTTGTTTTTTTGGTGATGTTGGCCACACAGGCCGAGAATCCAGTCGACGACGGATCGCCTCATCCAAAGATAGGCGGGTTCTGCATCCTCCGCCCGTCCTCCTGCATGCGGTCGGTCTCTGAGCGCCGCCGCTTGCGCCCCTGCATGGCAACCGCCTGCGGCATCGCGAAGTATTTCTCGATGAGCGGCTTGCGCGTCCTCGATTCTGCTTGATGCGCGAACCGCGCGGGCCCTGCTGGCTGCCGTGCGCTGTTTGACGGGCTCGTAGGATTCGAGTGGACGAGCGCGTCGATGGACATTGCTGCCCCTGCGCTGGCCCTGCGTTCGCCGTTCCTGATGATCCAGGTCGCTTTTTTATACTAGAGAATATATGTGTTTAGTGCGAGGAATTCTGTAATGCCAGGGCAAGGACATACCGTCTCCAGCTCGGGTTTTCCTCGCCATCGCGCGATGGCTTCACAGAACCGGACGGCAGCGCGCTCGACCGCCTCCGCGGGGAACTGCCACTGCAGATCCTCCATGTGCGTTGCTACATCTGGCGTAGACTGCGGGACATCGTAGAACTGGCAACACGATCGTGAGCCAGCGCGGGACCTGAATATAATGTAGATCAAACGCACCCGTTGCAACCGCTCAACCATCTCAATCTCGTACTCCAGCTCAGCACCCTCCCTCCGGTGCATCCCGTTCGCAACGCCCGGGTCTCGTAGCGAGGGAAACAGGACCCGCGTCGCCTCCTCCAGCTCAGGCAAGTCATCGGGATCAAACTGCTTGAACTCGTCTTCCTCCTCGTCTTCCTCTTCTTCCTCAGGCCTCTGCCGCGCAGATCCTTCTGCCGCACCACCCTGCCCGTTCTCCCTCGCCTGTCCACGATTCCTGCTCCGCCGTCCAAAGGCAGGATTGATCCCCAGGCCGACGCCAAGCAGCACCTCTAGCGGCTCGATGCCTCTCCACCCAGCCGTCATGTAGCCCTCGCATATCGCCCGGGTCAGTAGCCCAGCCAAGAGGAAGTACCACTCCCGCGAAGGCCGCAGCGCGTAGTAGTACAGCCCTGCATCCGCCAGATTGCGCTGCGTCAGCGTCCGCGGGCTGATCTGCGGCGACACAGGCGCGCGGGCAGCATGGGCGTGGGCGTGCGACAGGCCAGAAGGCGACGTCCCCGCCTGCCCCTCCTCGTCCCGCCGCCCGTCCCCGCCGTCCACCGACGCGCGCTCCTCCGTCGCCTCCCGCCCAAGCTCCATCGCGACGAGCGCGCTGAGCCGCATGAACCGCACGATCAGCTCCGACAGCTTCGTGCTGCACATCTGTGGGCTCCCGTCCAGGCGCGACGGCACCTGCGCGTCCGACGGCCGCCGCAGGACTGTCCCCTGTGGTCCGGGCCGCGCAAGCCCCGATCCAATCCCACTACCGTCTTGCCAGCCGGTCACCCCGCCCACCAGGGGCGAGCAATTTTGTCCCGAGGGCGGGTCGCCCGGGCTGCTTCCGGTGGTAGAACTCGCGCGCCCGGGCACGCTTCGGCCTCGCGGTTGTGCACCGCGGGTAGGGACAGGTGACTTTGCCTCCACACAGATCTCACAGCCCATATGGAGATGCCGTGGACACCGCAGCGATGGCGGCGAATTCTGGGTCTCTGGGTCCGTGCCGATATCGTAGAGTGAGCGGATGTATTGGCTAGGGTACGGCCGCCGGTGGGCCGTGGATGAGTTGGGATTGGGAGGCTGTAGCCCTGACGAGATGGCCGCTAGGGGTATAATGGGTGACGGCAGATTCGGGTGTGCTGACGGAGGGTGCTCAGTCTCCGACGGAGCGAGCGGGCTGGGCGCGCGAGGTATGGGTGCGCGGCGAGAGAAAAGGTCATTTATTACGGTAGCAAGTGCGAGACGCAGACGTACACCGTTAGGCAGGATATGCTGTCGCTGGACGTGCTGTGGGCGTAGCTGTGGAGACGTGGGCGGGTCGATGAGATCGTCCGGGTGGAGGGGAGGCAGTTCGGGAGGCTGGTCGAGCATCCCGGTCGCGACCTTCTCGACGCTCTCCGCCCGCTGCCTGAGGGCCCGTGCGAGGATGAGGTCCTGCATGTCCAGCCGCTCATCCTCCTCGTCGCCGTGTGTGTGCCCGGGCCCGCCCGCCCGCGCGGTAAGCGGCGACACGTCTTCGCCATCGCTGTACACCTCCTCGTCCTCCTCGTAGCTCTCCGGCCGCTCGCGGTGGGCGTAGTTCGCGGTGGAGGGGCCGCCGGTGCGGTCAGTCATGCCCAGCTCCGCACGAGCCTGCGCAAACCGGGTGCGCGCGTGCACCCACAGCAGATGGTCAATAATCAGCGTCCTGGTGGACTTCTCGCGAGGGGGTATCGAGTGCAGGTGGTGTGCATGCTTGTGCGCTGGTGCTTTGAAGGGAGTTGGCCCGCCGCCGCTGGATCCGCTGGGAATGGCTGGGCGGTGCATGATGGGGGACGAAGAGGGGTCGCGTTGGAAGCTCTGTTCGTTCTGAGAGACATTATAGCCGAGATACGACATACTGAATGGCGAAGCAGAACAGCACACGCAGTCAAGAGTCCAGACGGCGAGACGCGTCTGGAAGAGGTATGAGCACACACGCACGTGGACCCCGAGCGCGTATGCTCAATCTTTCTCACCAACTCCTCCACAATCATTGCGAGTAAACAAGGTGATGGTTATTTTGCCATCTCGAGCTGGATGTCATGTATTACGGTCATAGAATACAGAGCAAACTAATACTGGTGCACGAGGCCGATGCATACCCAGAGCATGAAACGAACAAACCAAACATAGGTGGAAGGCGAAATACGGAAACCGAAGGAGGGTAAGCGCGCAACGCGCGAACATAAACACGAACGAGACTCGAATAGAAATGAGCGGATGGGACAAGAAATCCAGAAAGAGACTGTGTAACCGGCAGCCGTCATGTCACCAGTAAAGGATTAAAGTAGGAGCATGACCGAAGGAACGGAATGACTAGTCGCAGCGATATCAAGTCAGAGATGAGAAGCACCAGGAAGAGAAACGAAACGGCGAACGACAAGACAATACATCAGGCTACAAAGTGACCGTCCAGACTCCACGGGCCTGTACAATGGCAGGATAAATATGCCCGGTGGAATCCGGCGGGTTCGTGAGTCATGAAATGGCGTGGCACCGGCAATTGTGTTAATTATTGGGCAGTCAATGAGGATGCTAGAGGGGAAATGGCGGCATTTGTGTGTACACTGGAGGCAGTGGCCCTACGGCGTTGGCTTTGGGTTACCCGCCAGGTCGTATCAATGCCGTTGCAAATCAATTCCGGCTCCGAGCCCATTCTGCACGGCTGCCGCAACATCTGCATCTGAACCCTGCCCGCCTTGAAGTTCCTCAAAGAGCCTTCGTCCCAAATCTAGGGGGATGAGCCTCGAAGGCTGCTGTATGGCAGTAGCGGGTGACGGCGACACATTGAGAAAGTCACTGAAATCGAACGTATTGCCAGGCGTAGGTGGAGCGTCAGCCAACCTCTTCGAGTCCGTATGTGGTGGGCTAGATGCGCGTGCATCTGCCAGTTGCGCTAGATCTGAACGAGCGGGAGCCGCAGGCAGGATCTCCGATGCAGGTATGGATACTGACACAGGTGCAGGTGTAGGCGCAGGTGCGGATGCAGGGGCATGTATAGGAACATGCGTAGCCGATGCTAAAGGAGGAGCAGGAAGTAGTTGCGTAGGCATAGATTCTATCGGCGTCGGCGGTGTAATTGTTGGCTCCCGTGGACGCTGAAGCTGAGCAGCAGCAGCAGCCAGCCCAGCGTCGAGCGATGTATGCTGAGGGCGAGTCCCTATGTGTCTATTGTACACGTTGGGGAAACTCCCCTCGGGCGCGAAGTCGCTCGAACCGGCAGAAGCAGTCGACGTGAAGCTACCCATGTCGTCTCTACGCAAGGCACGACTGCTACCCGCACTGGACGCATCGTCGCCTCCTCCTTGCGTGGGGAAGAGTACGCGGCCCTTGAGCGTCGAGCTGCCGCTGAGAGTGCGGAACGATGATAGGTCCTTTGAGGATCCGTCCCTTGCAGCGGCAGCAGCACGTACGGGCGACGGTGACGTTGCCAGGAACAGGAGTGAATCCGCGGCTTCAGTATCGCTCGGCACATGCGGGGTCCCCGAATCTCCCGTGGTGGGAAAAGGGCGCTTGCGCGACTTTGGTGGCGTCAACTTGTCTTCTTCGCGCACGCTACTGGGTTGAGGATAGCTCTGACGGAGATCCGACTCAACGGGAGACATCGGCGGGGGTGTCGCCTCGCGCATACCATACGAGGTTTCAGGGAGCGCAGACGTCTCTGCCGTTATCGTCCTTGCTGAGCTTTGCGCGTACTGGGCGTATGAATGCGCCGATCCTGCGTCTGACCCGGCCGATATGCTGGACCGCGGCGACGAAGCGCTGACCGATGGTCGCGATGACATCAGGAAGGAGGTCAGCGTAGCGGCAGCCTTCATATCAATATCCACGTCCGCCGTCTGGCGGTTAGCGTGCTGGCGGCTCTTGCCTTTACCGCCGTCCTTACCCCGGCGGCTCTTCGACTTCGAAGTACCCTCACCTCCGCGGGATGATTTTGCAGCTTTCCGCGGGGGAGGAGAAGGCGCGCGAGGCTTTGTAGGTGCAGGCACTGGCGGATCCTCCGGATTATGAATCGTGCGGGCGCGCTTAGCGGGTGGCGGAGCTAGAATGGACGAGAACAGACTCTGCGCGGCGGACGCAGTCACAGGCGGGGGCGGAGCCATCGGTCCCTTGCGTGAGGGCGTCCTTGCTGCGCCACCGGGTGTCATTGCGCTATTTCCTTGCGTGGCAGGATTATTGTAATAATTGCCCGGCTTTGCGCGGATCTGCGTCTGGGGATCATTCTCGAGCTCGCGGAGCGTGGTGTGAGTCAGATTATGCACTGCTTTGAAGGTGGCATAAGTGAGACGCGTCCGAAGGCCGCGAGTTAACTAGAAATTGGCGATATCAGTGATCGGGCCCAACAACAGTGCATCGAGAATAAGTATGTGTATATAGGGGTGTAATAGCATATAACATGACCCCTCTGTGTGATACAAGTATAAAATACTGTAGTTCGCATTTCAATCGAAACGCACCGTTGGAACGCGGTTCAACAAAATAATGCGTGATATCGGGGTTTAGTTAAAATAACCAGGAAAACACGCGAAATTGAGACAATGCAGGTCATACAGACGGAACAAAGCGGAGAATGGTTCGCCATTGACCTCGCATTGCCTAGGTGGCATTCATGGGGACAGGGGTCGCGGAAAATGACTCGGGGTGCGACCCCATGCGGTGGCTGATCCAGAGCAGAGATGTACACACCTTGCCCAGCTCGGCTCTTGCCAGAAACTTCTGGACCGCCTTGTCTCTCTCTTCCTTATCATCGGGCGCGGGGGCGGACGGCGCGGGCGTGGCGGCTGCGGCGGGCGTGTGGGGCTGGAGGTGCCTCAGCTGGGGAGAGGGGGTCGTCCCAGATGACGAAGGCGTCGCCATAGGCTTCTTCGACGCGTGTTATCGCTGCTAGCGGTGAGCTCTTGAACAACGAAGGGAACGGCGTACGAGAGAGGAGTCGAGCGCGTTTGGCGTCGCAGACGTGTGTGAGAGGAGACGCGGGTGCACCGATGTGAGCGCGTCGCGTCCGTGCCGGCGTCTGCCGTCTGTTAGGTAAGCCCGCGCACCACGCGATCGGAGCGCATGCCGAGACGCGTCGGACGCGGCGCATACCATGCCACCACCGCGACACGCTTCCCGTCCTCAGCCGGCGCGCTCATCCTCGCGTCCAGACAAGGTCTTTGCTTCGACTTGCCTCGATGCTCACTCAGCTCGACAAAGTACCGTCTTCCCCACTCCAATTCGTGACTCGCGGGTCGGAATAGTTTTCCGGATCATGGTTCACACTGCCATCCGCGAACTTTTCCCCTTTGACGCAGCGCACGGGAGCAAAACCCTTGCGGGCCCAGGAACCGATCACATGCGCACGGGCCAGGCGGCGCTATCGCCTTCGTCATACAGACGCACACCGCGGTCACGCCGCGCTCGAACATTCGAGCAGCGCGTTTGCTCATCCCGCAGGACCCACGCGCTGCCCTTGACATGCTGATACACAGGAGCGCTTTGGCTCTCGAGAGCCCTGTCATCTATTTTCGCTGCATGCGAAATAACAACAATAGTGGCGATACTATTGGCAATCGCGAATCATGCGCGACGGATACGCGCTTGTGCGACCAATCGCCGCCGGCGCGACTTTGGGAAATGGAACCCAGGAATTCCATATCGACATGCCATCGCGCCGATTTCACCGCCGAAGAGAAGGCCCAAGCTTGCCTTCATTGGGCAGGTCACCTCGCCAAATGTTCTAGGACGGCATCATTGACCGATGGATACTAAGATGCACACAGTAGGTTATACAGCCCAAAAAGAAGGCAGCATGTGTGAAAGATAATGAGCCATCGGTGCCGTGCTGCCACAAGATCAATGAAGGCGCGATATCCCTTCCACCGCGATCATGTGATCGCGTCGAGATAGTATTGAATAAATTTAATGACCAAACTGCCAATCTCCATCTTGAAGGTCAACGGTTGATCAAGTACAAGATTGAAGAATAATACCACAAGGCAAACACTAACATAGTTCATACTCCTAGGACCAGCCTTCACTATAGCGTACTCGCCAACTTACGACTCAGCAACAACCACGTGTTTTACCCCGACACAATATAAGAGGAGTACGAGCCTGAACAGTAAACATAGTCAAGCTGTGGCTGTGTACTAGCAGGGTTGCTCTGCCACGTCAGATGCGTGGTGAGGACGTCCAGATCTCTGACACAAGGGTAGTTCATATCCGCGGCCTTCTGCAGGGTGACAGATCCTCGTGTTTACCGCCTGACAGTCGCACCGGCGGGTTCTGTCACTTCTGCGGACGTTGTATGCCGACAGATCACAGTTTACACACAATCCACTGTGGCATTGGCATATTGCAGTTCGCTTCGGTGGTTAAACAACCGTCCATCTATCGTATCCATCAATGAACACTTCTAGTCCGAATGTTGGCCTTCGGACGCGATGCTATGCACTCACTGAAATGAACTGTCACGGGAAGCATCGAGAATCATGAGCGGCCAACTGCGGAACCTAATAAGGGGCCAGGTTGAACAGGCATCCCGCAATGAGGCAGAGATCCATATACCCCGTGTATAAAGGCCCCTGCCGATGTGCTGGGGTAGTGTATCCCCACCTTTCATCTACTCGACAAGGTATGTGGACCTGTCATAGAACAGATCCGCCTTCGTACATGTTGGCCTGATAGTCCGGCACGCTTGATAGATGGTGTTTTTCCTATTTCCCATCGTCGCCGCAGCCATCGTAGGCACCGCGGTCCTCACCTCCAATATTCAGCATGAACATCACATGAATGTCGACCTGAACGGCGACAGCATGGTCCAGCGCCTCATTGGCGAGCTGAACCTCAAGGACCGGTTGGAGCAAATGCAGGCGAAGCACGAAGCAACTATGGACGGGGTGGCGGCCAACGTGGCTCAGATGTCGATGAATGTCGAGACTAACCTGAACATCGTGACAACGGATGTCCACGACGCGATTCTGTTCTTCAAGGTCTTCATGACCGTGTTGTCGGTCTTCTATGCGATCAAGACCGTAGGCTATATCGTCCGGTGGATTTACGACCAGCGCAAGGAGAACAATGTCTTCATCGTTTTGCCTGGCGGAGGCGGTATGCTCGGAGACGCGAAGGTCAGACTGCTAGGCATGCCAGGATTGGTGCGTGACTTGATATGCAATCGAGAAAAATGTCGTTGAGCATTGCAGCCTAGGACCGTTATTGTGCACAGTGGTAGAGGGAGGAACACGCAGTGACGAATAAGACCATGTGTTGAAGGACCACTTCGAGTATCTTCATAATCTGCAGGGCAACGGGGTTTGGTTGCAATTGTCAAGCAGCGCAGAGTGCTCATTATCGTCAGAGCGGTTATGTGTAGTTCAGTTGTTTCGGCAAGATTTTAATGGTGAACTGGGTGTACTCGGAAGCCAAGTCATACATGCTAAGGTTGCGTGGACTGGCAGTGCTTCTTTTTTGTCCAACGCACAGGCGCCGCATGTGTTGCAGGATATGATCTGAAATGACAGTGAGATGAAGCTGATGTCGTGTGTCAATATCTAGAGAAGCAGAGATACAGGAAACACAGACGGGCAGTGTGAACAGTTCCAACCCGAACCTGGACTACTTATTGTGGCGTTCCGCTCGGTGGCGGGAGATCGGCCCTAGATCGATCCGTGATGCGTCACGCAAATGTCACCGCCTGCCTGCCAGGCGTGACAAGAGACGGACTCCGTTCTCGACGACCGTCTCACCCTTCACCGAGCCTCTTCCATCAACCTACGCTCGATCATGCCGCCAAAGAAGCAAGCAGGAGGCTCCGCCTCGAAGCCGAAGGAGGATAAGGTGTGCTCTATCTCCGTGCATCATTGTCCCCGAGCTGACGCAGACATTGATGAGGAATTCGTAGACCTTCGGAATGAAGAATGTCGGTACCATAATCATGCACCAGTCCATGGACGAGAATGACCTTTTTCACAGAAAAACAAATCTGCCAGAGTCCAGAAGCAGATCGCTACGATAGAGAAACAGCAGGCGCAGGCGGGCAAGTCGCGCGCGGCGCTCGAGAAGGAGAAGGAGAAGGCTATGCGAGAAAAGGAGAAACTGGACGAGGAGAAGCGGAAAAGGGAGGAGGCTGCACTCTTCAAGCCTGTGCAGACGCAGAAGGTGCCATTTGGTGTCGACCCGAAGACGGTGCTGTGTGCGTTCTACAAGGCCGGCCATTGCGACAAGGGCAACAAATGTAAATTCAGTCACGATCTCAATGTCGGGCGGAAAGTGGAGAAAAAGAACCTCTATGAGGATAGCCGGGAAGAGAAGCTCGCAGGTACGTCTCTGAAATAGACTTGTGGTTCATAAGGTGTCTTACACCTTTGCAGATACTATGGATCAGTGGGACGAGGAAAAGCTACGGAGCGTGGTTCTGTCCAAGCATGGCAACCCACGAACGACAACCGATGTTCGTCTTCTCTTCCTCAACACCTCAAACGTCTTATGTATCTTTTTGGCAGATCGTCTGCAAGTTCTTCATTCAAGCGATCGAATCCGAGAAGTATATATCCCCCATACCTGACAAGTTTGCGTCGTCTCACAATCATGTCACAGGTTCGGGTGGTTCTGGGAGTGTCCAAATGGCGAGTCATGTCAGTACAGACATGCTCTCCCGCCAGGCTTCGTGCTCAAATCTCAGAAGAAGGCTGCGGAGGAGGCTGAGAAGGCCAACACGATCAGTCTGGAAGAGTTCCTGGAAGTAGAGGTGTGTATCGTCATCTTGCAATACTCCGTCGGCTATTTCATAATCGGCGACAAATAGCGACATAAACTGGGCTCCAACCTCACGCCAGTAACGCCTGAGACATTTGCGAAGTGGAAGCAAACTCGAATGAACAAGAAGCAGGCTGAGGACGACGCACTCCGTAAGACGAAGGAGCAGCAAGCCGCAGCGGGCAAGAGTAATGGCATGAGCGGAAGAGATCTGGTGAGTGTCTTGACTTTCTCTGCGAATATTACTGATCGCTCTTCTTGTGCGTCAGTTCACATTCAACCCCGAATGGTTCGAAGGAGAGGACGAAGACGAAGAAGACGACTGGGATCTGACGAGGTACAGGAAGGAGCAGGAGGATGCGGACCTTCTAGCGGAGGAGGAGAGAATACAGAGCCTCAGCCTGGGTGATCAGGATGGCTCACCAGGGGTGAGCAATGGTGACGAAGAATGAGTGCAGACGCATGTACGGTTCCTCCTGCTACATACCATTGTCGTCGCCTTGGACTTCTACCGCAACATTCACACAGATCTATGCCACTATGTCACTCCTATGTGAGCATCACTGTACAATAAATACACCAGATGTTCGATGTAAGCTGTCAATCCTCGTCACTTCCATAGTCCGCGAGCCCCAGCCCCTCTGATGGTGGCTTTTGCAATGGCGCACTCCGCACGATGGCAATGCCGTTCCGTCTTCGTATTTCAGCGAAGTATTTGAGACCCTCCAACGCGTCTGCGCTAAGCAGGCCGTTGGATTGTCCAAACTGCTCTTGTTGCTGAAGCTCCTGTTCGGCCTCCTGTACCTGCTCCAGTTCTTCTGGGGAGAGCTCTTGCTGAGTATCCTCAATCTCCAACCGTCGCCTCTTCGCCTCTGGTGCACCGTCCTCCTCCTCTTGCCCTTGCTCGTCTTCGTCGATCGCGCCGTCTTCCAGCGCCTGAACGGCCCGAACGGCATCGATGATGCGGGGGTCCATGCGTGCTTGGATTGCCTCGCGGCCCATGTCCTCCAGGCGTCGCTTCTCTTGCACTTTTGACACGGGATTCGGGTCTTCGGTTGCCCAGCGGACATTGAGGATTTCGTCATTATCGAGGGACTGGCACGCCATCGCCTCTTTGGCGAATTGCGCGTTGAACTCAGAGACGTACGTCACAAACGCGACGCTCCGGTACTGCAGCACACGGACTACATATATGGTCACCATTCAGCACTCCGGGCAAGCGGGGACGAGTATGAAGGGGACACACTTTTCTCGACCTCGCCCCATTCCTTGAAATGTCGCCGCACAACCTCCTCCGTCTCCGTACCCGTTCCTGTCTCCTTGATCCGCCCAATGTACAGCGTGCGGTTCTGCCGCTGGAAGCTACCCACACCACCCATGTCGTCTCGGTAGTCTGCGAACTTGTCGCGCGCAAAGCAATCTTTTGAAGTGTCCGGCAACGCGATCGACGCATCTGGCAGCTGGTGCAGGTACTCGCATTCCCAGCCGTATGGGCAGCACCCGCGCGCGAAGAAGAGACAGCAGTACTTTACGCCGGTCATGTTCGCGCGTGTCATACCGGCATCTTTCTTGATGTGGCAGCGGGTCTGAGACTTGACCTTGCTGTATGACTTCGTTAGCCGGGTGGAAGTGGCGGAAACTAGCAAACTCACTTGGAGTAGCTGTCCTCACGATCACCTCCTGCCCATTTGTTGTACCAGATATCTAACAGACACAAGAACCCAGTGTTAGCGATTGGGAGTCAGGTCTCAGCGCTGAGGCGTACTGTATTCTTTGCCAGTTTGGGGGGCTTCCTTCTTCTCCACGTCGCCTGGCTTGACTTGTTTGCGAGCAGGCCTTAACTTTTTCTGTTTTTTCGGGATGTCAACCGGCGTTTCCAGAGCATCAGCATCGGAAGACATGATCAGCTGTGTTGCAGTGACCGCAAGTGAGAGAGACGAGTGGTGGAATGCGGTGATCGAGGAGTTGTTCAGCCACCGCGAGTCCGCGAAGTTGTTTGATCCTGTTTATGATCTGGTGGATGGAGGGCATAAAAAGGGACACTGCCCCAGTGAGGCTCGAACTCACGACCTGGGTCCTCACACCAGGTCTGCTCGATGGCCTCCTCCGTCACCTGCCAGTACTTCTCCTCTCCGTACCATGTAGCAGAGGAATTCGCGCAGGGACACCACAGTGCTCTTGATTTCTTTGGCTCTCGATCTCTTTGCGCGTAAGTCATATCCCTGTCGACTCGTCCTCACATTGAATCTTACGCTTATGTGTGTGTGAAGTCGAGTTCAATGAGGACCTATCTGACTTTCACGGCCCCATGCTCGATGCCGAGACCAGCTATGCACGCGCACTGACCATCCTGGCGCACTCAATGGGGTGTGTTGGCGCAACCGCCCTATTCGCACACGTGAACGTGAATGCCTTGATCACCATGTCGTATCTCATAAGTTATCTAATTATACAACACTATTAAGCTAGTACAGGAACTTGTATGAATGACCTGCTTGAGGTAACTGCATGTTTGCATCTGGGTGACGATAACGTGACCACATTTCTGACAAATTCCATTCTTGTCCTTCACCTGGTGTGGCATTTCTGCGCATCTCTTCTCACTAATGTCTCATGCTGATATGTCGTCAACCTCTCAAAACCAGAAGAACAAGAAGAGGAGTCACAAAGATGCACCTGGTGATCAGGAGAAAGGAAGCAAGCGCCCTCAAGGACACCCTATAGCACATATGCAGGCATTGCCGGACTTTCAGAGCAATGAGGAAGCAGCTCAGTTTGCGTAAGTGTGAGCTGTTGGTTTGTAATGTGATTGGGGCTTATTGCAATAATCAGCTCCTGTTTGCAACCAGAAGTAGCATACACATTTATTGAGCACCTGCTACGCATGATGCAGCAGGTCGATCCTGACCAGATCTCATCATTGGAGGTGACTGCAACTGGTACTCAACTCTGACTATTAGCAAGTATATGCAGCTCAAGTATAGGGAAATACAGTAGAAAGTTCTTCTAGTAATGAATTGGGCACCAACAGCCCGCAAATGCATTCAGGAATAGCCGGTGCGGTATAGGTCATTTTTTTGGGCATTGACTAATTGGACTTGTAGACCAGCGGAATGAACTATTGGGCGCAACAAATAATACGACAGATGTTATATCAACTGGCTATATGCAGACCGATCATGTTTCTGACAATGAACTCGCTTTTTTCTCGATTACTTGTCTGGCCCAAACACAATAGACTCTGTGCTGACAACAAACCAACCTTCTAAGGGTGGATTACAATGGACTGGCATGGTTTCAACCTCAGATAACATTGGCGTTCTGACGCACCCATGGGGCGAACATACTGGCAACATGACAGATGTGGTTACTGGTGGTACCACTGTGGGCCTCACTGGTGATTTGTCTAGTGATCTGACAGGGCCTTTGTCATGAGTTGGTACGGCATCTAGCCGTTTTTTAATTTTTCCTTTTCGCAGGCTTGAACCCGCAACCTCTGTACTACATGCCTGATATGGACGCGTCATTATCTACTGTACGATTAGATTAGATGGGGCGGCAGTGCACGGCACAGCTCGGGCTCCGCTGACACAGCCACTCTGACTCACCAGCCCCCGGGGCCGCGTCAGCATGCTGTGCACGGACCAGCTGCGCACGGACCAGTGCGCACAGCCTGCCCTCATCTTCCCCTGTATATAAGCCTGCCTCTGCTGCCCTAGGGACCTCAGTTTCGACCTCTTGTCCCTAGGTCAGTAAGCTCCCATGTACTTACTTCCTTTTCTTTACTAACTAATATATTCTTGTCCCTAGCCTTAGGTTTGAGCATCACTCACCATTGCTTCAGTGAGAATAAGTCGGACACCCCCAGCTTTTAGGTTTCCTCAGTCGCTTGACCCCAAGTCGCGACATTAGGTCGAAACTCCCACAGCTGCCGGCATTCCTCGGGACTCCACAAAAACTTACATTCCTTTTCTATAGGTTGGGTGGTGCGCACCCCTACTATACTCTACGGTACATACGATACATAGATAGCCTTACCATATATCACCACCCCTAGAGGAACAAACTCTTCAGCACCTGCACTTCAGTGGGCGGTGTTTGTCCTCACGGACGCGTGGTCTAGGTTCCTGCTGCATACTAGCCAAAAGCAGTACTGGGCCCCACGTGAACTGCGAACCTCAGGGTCTTCTCGGGCGCCGTAGGTGTAAGCTAGATTAGCACGGCCTTTCATAGTACGCGCACCTCCCCTTCCTCCCCCCATCCAACGTGGCTGCCTATCAAGGCCAAGTTCACGCCTTCAACTCTCAGGACCTCGTCAATGTCTACCTCCCAGACGGCCCTGAGACTATTATCCTCACCTGCGAGCAGCAGCCATGCCCAAATCGGAGACCCTGATCGATCGAGCAGGATTTCCCATGTTACAAAGCAATCCAAAGAGTGCAACATCTGCTCGGTCCCCGCAGCACCCTCGCATCTCGATCCGCCTCGCAGCATTCTCGCCCTGTCTCCCCAAGCTCCCACCTCCCCCAACCAGTTGCCGGTCCAAGTCAAACACGAGGAGATCTCCCTCCAGACCCTTTGCCAGAGCCTGAGTCTGAGGAGAGTGCGAGTGAAGAAGGAGTCTTGGAGTCCGAGTCCGAGGGTTCTGATCGGCCCACCTCGCCGACAGTGCTCGCCTCCATGTCAGCAGTCCCTGACGTACGTAACCCCACCTCCAAACTTCCTCCGGCGCCTTCACTGCTGTCTCCGCCGCGAGGCCACTTGCGCACTCACTCCCCTCGTAGTCCAACCAGCGGAGGGACACAACAGCCGCCTCCGCCCCCACAGCATCCTCCGTCCCCCCGACACCGATAATGTCTTCTCCGTCGACCGCCCCCGATAAGGAGACCCTGAAGCTCCTCCCCCTCCGCTATGACGGCAAAACCGTCATCGAGTGCGACAGGTTCTTGTCGCAACTTCGCATCTACTGGCTGGTCAACACGTCGTTGACCACCATTGAGCTCAAGGTGCAGGTTGCGCTAAGCCTGCTAGACAGAGATGCCCACGCCTGGGCCACTCCCTACTTCTCCCAGCTCGCATCAGTGCAGATGGGTGTACAAGGGGTCATGACCCCTTTCAGGAATGAAGCAGCCTTCACCGCTGCCTTCAAGGCTTGCTTTGGCAATCTCGACGATGAGGCAGCGGCACAAGTAGAGTTGGCGAAGCTCTGCGCGAACAAGTCGGTCCGCGAAAAATGCACCGCTGCGGAATTCTCCGCGCTGTTCAAGGGTCCGGCGGATCGCTCTGGGTATGGGGACCTGGAGCTACGCGACAAGTACCTGAGTGGCATCCCCTCCCGTGTCTACCGAAAGATCGAGCTAGAGACATTCACCACGTGGCAAGAAGCTGAGAAACGCGCCACTGAGGTCGAACAGATCCTCGACATCAGCCGGGCCCGCCGGCCTGAGCTAAACAACTTCTTCTCGGCTCAAGGACGAGGATGCGGTGGGGCACGTGGTGGTGCCCCCCACACACCTAGCTTCAGCCAGCATCAATGCGGCCGTCGGAAAAGGAAACTTCGCGGGCAGCTGCTTCGGCTGTGGGAAGCAGGGGTACCGACACTTCGAGTGCCCCAACTGTAAGGACAAGCCTTACACAAAACGCGCTGACGCGCGGGCTACGGTTGCCTCGGGTTCCACCCAGGCGGTGACAAGCGCCCCCACCACGACATCACCCTCGGCAAGTATAAGTGCCACTTCAGCGAAATCCGAGCAATCGGAGCTGGTGGACTTAATGGCACAAGTGAAGTCGATGTGCGAAGAGCTCGAGCACTATCGGGCGATGAAGGAGGAGGGTTTTTGATCTGGTCCACGCTTCGTGCCGCACGCGTCGGACCTCGTAATAACAATTTGTACAATGTATTGGCGACCACAAATGTTTACGAGTTGGACCATGGGTCCCAGCACTTCCACATCCCGGTGCGCCTCAAAGGAGAAAGACGGCACAAGGACATAGTTGCAATGGTGGACAGCGGAGCCACCACGAAGTTCATCAACAAGCGTTTCATCACGGAGAATCGAGTACGAACGCAGAAATTGAAGGAACCAATTTGTCGCGACTTAGGGTCAAGTGACAGGGGAAAACCTAAAGCTGGGGGTGTTCGACTTATCTTACCGAAGCGATGGTGAGCAACGCTCAAACCTAAGGCTAGGGACAAGTAATATATTAGTTAGTTAAGTAAGAAAGAAATACAAATAAGGGCTTACTGACCTAGGGACAAGAGGTCGAAACTGAGGTCCCTAGGGCAGCAGAGGCCGGCTTATATACATGGGGAGATAAGGGCAGGCTGTGCGCACTGGTCCGTGCGCAGCTGGTCCGTGCACAGCATGCTGACGCGGCCCCGGGGGCCGGTGAGTCAGAGCGGCTGTGTCAGCGGAGCCCGAGCTGTGCCGCGCACTGCCGCCCCATCTAATCTAATCGTACAGTAGATAACAACGCATCCATATCAGGCATGTAGTACAGAGGTCGCGGGTTTGAGCCCGCGAAAAGGAAAAATTAAAAAACGGCTAGACACCGTACCAACTCGTGACATTACCCCCCCTCAACGGCGCATGACCTCATGCGAGGCGCCCTTGCCCATCTCCCACCCGGAGCGGCAGTGTGCTTCAGTCAGCGGCGATGGCATCGGCTGTAAGTTGAGACCCTCAAAGGTAGCAGCATTGAGGCGACGAGGGGTGTTCAGGTTCTTCTGGTGGAAGTCGGCTATGAGGGCCGGCGCATTGGCAACGTTGCGTGCCGGTTCCCATGACGTATGCGAGTCATCATAACCCTTCCACTTGACGAGGTACTGCAGTTGACGCCGGAAGATCCTCGAATCCTTGATCTGCTCAACCTCGTACTCCTTGTTGCCCTCAACCTCAATGGCAGGCAGCTCCTCCGGCTCTCGGCCCGGGATCTCGCTATGCGTGTACTTGCT